TTTGCAAAACCAACAAGGGCTCTTAACTACTGAGCCGTCTCTCCAACCCCTCTATGTGCAGTTTTAAATGCCTTTTAAAAGCTTTCAAATGAGGCTGGGCTAGTGTTCAGTGGTGGAGTATGAGCTTAGCATGAAACAGGTGTGTGCACACATGAGGGGGAAGGACTGATTTCTCTTATCTATGTAGTTTAGTCTTACTAAACATGGAATGTTTTTGGGTATTCATTCTTCAGATACATTTTTTTGCACCAATCTTTATCTCCTCCTGGGACTCAGCGACAAATCACAGAGCTTGAAGTGTGTTCCCGAGACTCCACTTCCTTAGTCCTGTCTTCCAGGTGTGCTCTGCCCTCTGTCCTAGGCCCACACTGCGCCCCCTTGTTCCCTTCAGCTTGGAGCCAATCCAGTGTGTTTTTCAGCTTGAAAACTTCCATTTGGTTCTTTTTGTTGTTGTTACTGTTTTGTTTGCGATAAGGCCTCCTGTAGCCCAGGCTGGCCTTAAAGGTGCTATGCAGTGGAGGATGAGCTCGAATTCCCAATCCTCCTTCCTCTACCTCTGGAGTGCTGGGTTCACAGGCTTGCACAGGTGTGCCTGGCTTCCTGCACTTTCTGTTGAGCTGTGAAATTTCTGTCCGTTCACGTCTAGTCTCTGCTTGGTAGAATGTGATCACTCACTACAGTGACTTTACGGTCTTCCCAACTCCCTGTGACAAAAGACTAATCCTGCCTGTCTGTCAGGGAACCAGTGGAGCATCCATTGGCTTGTGGGTTTATTTTTTTTTAATTAATTAATTTATTTTATGTGTATGAGTGTATCACCTGCATGTGTTTAAGTGCACCGTGTTGTGCAATGCCCGTTGAGGTCAGAAGAAGGCATCGGATTTCCCTGGAACTAGAGTTACGGATGGCTGTTAGCCTCCATGCGGGTGCTGGGAATCGAACCTGGGTTCTCTGTAAGAGCAGTCAGTGCTTTTAACCCTTGAGCCATCTCCCCAGCCCCGACTTATGTTTTCTAGTGAATAAGATCTTTGCTTTATGAAGCAGAGCTGGGTAGAAATCTGGGTGACTGCTGCAGTCTTCTGTGGGGCACTGTGCCACCATGACGTCTAGCCAGCATGTTGCATTTTAAGCTTGGTTGTTTGAATAGTAATGTACTCACCCAGGTCTAAAAGTGGCAGAATGTAAGGATAAAAGTATATCTTTCACCCTTTCCCAGAAGTCCTCACCTGTACATGTCAGCACAACCACCAGATTTTAGGGTTCTTTAAATTTTTTTTTTTTTTTTTTTTTGGTTTTTTTGAGACAAGGTCTCTCTGTAGCCCCAGCTGTCTTGGAACTCACTATGTAGACCAGGCTGGCCTTGAACTCACAGAGATCCGCCTGTCTCTGCCTCGGAGTGCTGGAATTAAAGGCGTGTGCCACCACACCCAGCCTTCAATTTCTTTTGTGTGTGAAAACAAATCTGCTGTGTTCCATTCTTTTGTTTGTTTGTTATTTTTATTTTATGTGTATGAGTGTTATGCCTGTATGTAGGTAAGTGCACCCATGTCTTGCAATGCCTGCCGAGGACAGAAGAGGCCATCGGATCTCCTGGAACTGGAGTTACAGACAGTTGTTAGCTGCCGTGTGGGTGCTGGGATTCAAACCTGGGTCTTCTGCAAGAACAACCAGTGTTCTTAACTGCTAAGCCATTTCTCCAGTCCCCTGTGTGCTATTATTTTAAAGAATTGTGTTTTAGGGGGCTGGAGAGATGGCTCAGCGGTTAAGAGCACTGACTGCTCTTGCAGAGGACCCAGGTTCAATTCTCAGCACCCACATGGTGACTACGAACTGTCCTTAACTCTAGTTCCAGGGGAATCTGAACCCCTCTTCTGACCTCCGAGGCACTGAACGACACGGGTGCACTCACATACATGTAGGCAATACACTCATACAGATAAAATAAAAATAATAAAATATTTTTAAAAATTGTGTTTTAGAAGGTTTGCAGCTGTTTTCTCTTTCTGTTACTCAAACCACTGACAGCAACTTGTATTATGAAGCCAGTGGCCTTGTTCAGAGCTCCCTGATCAGCAGGTCAGCACCTGCTATGCCCCTTTTTTTTTTAAAAAAAAAAAAACTTTATAAATGGGCATGATGGCACATGCCTTTAATTCCAGCATTCAAGAGGCAGAGGCCTGTGAGTTCAAGGCCAACCTGGTCTACATAGCAAGTTCTAGGCCAGCTGGGGCTACAGGGAGACCCTGTCTCAAAAAAACAAAACAAAAACAAACAAAACCTTTTATTTATTAGTGTTGTGTGGCAGGGGTGTGCATCCCGCAGTGTGTGAGTGGAGGTAAGAGGACAGCTTTGTGGAGCTGGTTCTCTCCCTCCACCTTCACATGGGCTCCAGAGACTGAACTCTGGTTGTCAGGCTTGCATGGCAAGGACCTTACCCATTGACCCATCTCGCTGTCCCTGTTCATTTCTTTTTAATGAAAACTAGGTATTTAATACAAAATTGTAACGTCCTTTAATTAAAAATATTTATTGTTGAGCCGGGCGTGGTGGCACACGCCTTTAATCCTAGGACTTGGGAGGCAGAGGCAGGCGGATCTCTGTGACTTCAAGGCCAGCCTGGTCTACATAGTGAGTTCCAGGACAGCTGGGGCTACAGGGAGACCCTGTCTCAAAAAGACCAAAAAAAAAAATTTATTGTTATTACACGTGTGTGTGTGTGTCTATGTGTGTGTCTGTCTATGTCTGTCTGTGTCTGTGTCTGTCTGTGTGTGTGTCTGTGTCTGTGTCTGTCTGTGTCTGTGTCTGTCTGTGTCTGTGTCTGTGTCTGTAGGCTAGAGGACAGCTCTGTGGATCTCATTCCCTCCTTCCACCTTTACCACCTTTACGTGGATTTAGGGGCTTTGGCTCAGGTGCCAGGCTTGCACTTAGGCACCTTTGCCCCGCTGAGCCATCTCACTGGCTGGAGTGTCCCTGAGTTACCGTGCTTTCCACACCACTCTTCTGGCTAGCAGCAACTGCTGTTGGGAACCGACCATATAGCTTTCCAATTCCTTTCTTACTTGATCTTAGCCAAAAGATAAAAGTGATACCAATTCTTCATGGCTTCATAGTTTTACAGAAGTGTTATCATTATTCTTTCTCTCTGGTGGTGGTGGGGTGGAGCCCTGGCTGACCTCAAATGTGACAGTCCTCCTGCCTCTGGTTTCTGAGTGCTGGGATTATAGGTGTGTGCTCCACACTGAGCTTGCTTTTTGCTATGAATATATAGATTTAATCTGTTGTTTGTTTGTTTTTTGAGACAGGGTCTCCCTAGAGCCCTGGCTGGTCTGGAACTCACTATGTAGGTCAGGCTGGCCTCAATCTCGGGGGATCTGCTTGCCTCTACCTCTGCTTTCCCAGTGCTGGGGTTAAGATGTGTGCCACCAAGCTACACAGTACTTTTTTTGAGGCAGGATTTCATGTAGCTCTGCCCCATGTAGCCGAAGCTGGCCTCAAATTTACTATGTAGCTGAGGCTGGCCTTGAGCTCATGATCCTCCTGCTTCTACCTCCCATGCACTGGGCCTACAGGCTCTTGCCTTGCCCTTCTGTATTTCTTGTTAAATAACCTCCTGATTTTTTTTTTTTTGAGACAGGGTCTCCCTGTGTAGCTGGAACTCAGAATCAGACCAAGCTGGCCTTGAACTTACAGATCCACCTGTCTCTGCCTCCTGAGTGCTGGGGGAAAGATGTGCATCACCACACCAGCATATCTCTGTGTTTCTGTTATTTTTATGTTTCTAGCTGCAGCATAGGTTTCCCATGTTCTCGTCACTTTGATATAAAACAAATGATCTGATCTGTTATTAAGTGTAGAGTCCACTATGTTTTCTTGAATGCAGATGCTTTGTTGTCTTGTTATCTGTCTTACCTGGGCTCCTCACCTGGGTGAGGACTGGTGTGGAGAGCTCCTGGTGTGCAGAGGCCTCTGAGTGAGAAGTGGCCAAGTGTGCTGAGCACAAGGGCCCTGGGTGCAGTTCTGTCCCCTCACACTGGCTTCAGATGGCTTGTCTCTGTCCCGTGATGTGGCAGGACTGTGTGGGACAGAAGGGTAGCTCCTCCTGCCCTCAGCACTGGCTCTATGGGGACCCTGGGCACAGGCCTCCATTCCTGGGGTGGGTGCCACCTCTTGTGGGGAAGGCTACGAGGCCTCAGGAAACTCACCAGCTCCCCACACCTGGACCCCGAGCCCAGTGCTAATTCCTGATGGCGCAGGCTCAGGCAGCATTGGCAGTACTCCTCAGGTCCACATCATGGCCCCAGAGTGAATCTGTGCTGTGTATGCTCTGGGGATGTGAGGGTCCTGCATGGATGAACATGGAAAGATTGCTCCTGAGCTCGTTGGAGCATGCCAGTCACACACACACATACACACACACACACACACACACACACACACACACACACACACAATTACCACCCACTGAGCTGGCTCAAAAAATAGCGCCCGAGCGCGTGGGAGCATGCGAGTCTCACACACACACACACACACACACACACACACACACACACACACACACACACACAATTACCAGCCACTGAGCTGGTTCACCGAGAGAGCACAGAATGTTGGGTGCCAGGGACAAGGAAGGGAGTTAGGAATCAGTGTGACAAGGGTTTTGTTTGGGAAGATGCAGAGACTGGAATGGAGGGTGGGGATGGCTGTGCAGCAAGGTGAGTGTGCTCAGGGCTACTGACAGTGCACTGACAACTGGTTGAAAGTAGCCATACACCGTGTACATGTCACCTCATCTTACACAGTGTTTGGGGCTGCCCCATCGCTGATGACAAATGATTGTGCTTTTCCCTGCAGATAGTGCCCTGTCCACACTGCTGTGCCTCAGCGCAGCAGCCAGTCCACACCAGCTTCTGTTCTGTTTCCCACCTCTACACCCAACTTTTCTGGGTCTCATTCTTCATGCATGAGAGGTCTGATCTGCTACCTCCCTCCTCGCCTCACAGGTGACCTATGGCTCCTTTGACTACACCTCACTGCTCTACCTGTCAGACTACCTGGAAGACTTCGGTGGAGGACGCTTTGTGTTCATGGAGGAAGGGTTCAACAAGACAGTGGAACCCAGAGCTGGTAGGACATGTAGGCTGGTGGATGGGGATGGGCACAGGCCGATAGCTCAGCATGGTGACATTTGTGTATGTTCATACCCCCCCCCACACACACCACGGTGCCATGGTAAGGTGGGTTTTACTCCAGGAGACCCTGCATTTGTGGAGTATCAACTCTTCATCCATTGGACTTGATGCTGGATTTGTCTTGAGTCCCCCTGTGGTCATGACAGCCGGAAACCAGCTTTGTCACCCAGTTGTCTAAGGTCAACGTAAGTGAGTGCATGACTGAGCCAAACTCCGTGTCATCACTTAGGTGTGCGCCGGCCTCTTCTGCATGCTCAGTGCCCCCACCCCTCCTGGCTGACTGGAACTTACTTGCTGTGTAGACCATGTTGGCCTTGCACTCACAGAAATTTGTCTGCCTCTAGGCTCCCAAGTGGTGGTATTAAAGGTGTATGCTACCATGCCAGCTTTAATGCCCTTCTTGAAAGGACTTGTCAATTTAAGATTAGGTGATGCCACTGGGGAGCAGCTCAGTGGTGAGTGCTTGGTTTACATTCACGAAGCCCTGTGCCCTGCTCCAACCCTAGCTCCACAGAGTAAAGGCAGTGAAAATAAGGGTTAAGTGATGGTTATCCTACTGTGTCCTGCATGGCATGTGGGACAGCCTCAGAGCTCATCTCCCTGAGCTTTGCCCTGCAGCTCCAGAGCCCTCAGAACCATGCTGCATAGTGCCCCCCAGGGAGCATTTGCTGAGCAGACAGTTGTTCCTTCCTGCCTAATTTGTGGGAAGCCCGAGTGTAGGTCCTGGTGGGGAAGTGGAGCTTGAACCCAGGTCCTCATGGGAGGTAGAGCCTGAGCCTTGGTCCTGGTGGACACGTGATAGCTTTGGGGACTCTGGTCCCATGTGGGAAAGTACAGGAATAGGTTGGCCCACCTTCCTAAGATGTGGCCCTCACTACTGGCCCAGACAGCTGAGACGCAAAGATATACATAACTGTTGCACCAGCGTGTTACATGTACCATGTCCCACCTATCCTGTGTGTCACTGTCACCTGCTAAGTGGTCCTCTTCCCTGCTTGTTGACAGATCCATCTGAGCAGTAAGGCTGTCTATACAAGGTGATTCAGAAAGTCCTCTTGGACCATGGGTCAGACACTCCTTGCAATGGTGTTGAACATGAACATGACTTTGAAAAATTTCTTGTGTTCGTCTGAATGTGGGTATGTGCATGAGGGTAGTGCCCATGGATGCCAGAAGGGGCATCACATCTGGAAGTGGAGTACTAGGCAATTGTGAGCCGCCAGCTGTGGGAGCTGAACTTGGGGTCCTCTGTAGGGGGCAGCCAATGGCCTCATGCAATAGGCAGCTGGGGTCAGGGACACCATCAGTGTAGCGTGAGTCACTGTGGATGGGTTTAGAGCCGACATCAGAGACAAGCCAGGTCCCCGCTTGGGCACAGGAGGGTCCAGGAACCAGTGCTGGTCCCTGAGCTGTATGTGGGGCACCCTCCGTGTGGCTGAGCAGAACAGTGATTGGCCTGGTATTGCCACAGTCACTCTGCAGGTTGGAACTGAGGAGCCTGGAGTGAGGGTAAGAGTTGGCCATTGCGTGGGGGTTGATGTAAGCTGTGGGAGCATTACCACCCACCACTCAGGGCCCCTAATGGGAGCAAGGATCTCTCCAGGCACAAGGGGGTCCCATCTGGAGGCTGGAGGGGCCTGTCCAGGGCTGTTTGGTGGTCATGACTCAGCCTGCCCCCCAGACAGGAGTAAAGGCTGATGGAATTTGTCAGCTCTGGCTGTATCTAATAAACAAAGCATACCAGCAGTGTTGGTCCTGTGAGAGACACCCCCACCACCTCACTTTTAGAGCCTGTAGAAAAGACAAGTATTTATTTCACCAATACTAAAATTCATTTGTATTCCCTAAATTCATGACAATGGTCTACGTCCATGACATTGGGGCCCCCCCAGCCTCCTAGTGGTTCCTTTCTCATGTCCTCTTGGAGCTGCCCTACCTGATGCTCCACCTGGTATCCTACAGAGCTTGGTACCTCCTTCCCTCAGAACTGGGAAGTGACTGAGGGAGGAGTGGTAGGAATTTTTCTGAGGCTCCTGGGCTCAGGCCGGTCTCCATTCTGCACACATGGCCTTTGTCACAGAGCAGGGGACCGGCCATCATTGTCCTTGGTCCTTCCCCCTCCAGAGGGGTCACATTCACAGTGTCCCCTGCAGTTTTCAGATGACTTAAGTGGGATGGGGCCCAAGGAAGCATGAGGGAACTGCTGCAGACAGATGCCTTTCATCCATGCAGCCATGCAGGGAGGACAGGAGCCCTCACAGCAAAACCAAGGGGTGGCCTGCAGAGCCTCCTCCAGCCCTCTAAAGAAGGAAAAGGAGGCCCTGGGGTGCTTTTCACAGGGAGGCAGCAGGCCCTGATGTTGGACCAGGAGTGTGGCCATGGGAAGCTGCAGCAGCCTCCTCCTGTGTCCACAGACTACCACATGCTGTCCGGGGCCCACCTGCCTGATGTGTCCAGATGGGAATTCAGCTACAGGGGACTGAGCGGGCCTTCACTCTGAGGGGCTTGGACTGACTGCTTCTCCTGAGGCTCAGGGGTCAGACAGAAGCTGCCAGGCTGAGAAGTAAGCACTCTTCCACCCCATGCATCCTGCTCAGGGTGGCCTGGGAGGACAGGAAGCACCTTGTTGGTTTGTTGATTTGTTGTAATAGGTCTCTCTCTCTCTCTCTCTCTCTCTCTCTCTCTCTCTCTCTCTCTCTCTCGACTTTGGCAACCAGCATTCTCGGGTCCCAGGAGACCTTCCTCCATCCTGTCCTCCCATCAATATTTGCTATCCCCTCTTTGCCCTTACCTGTCCCCCTGGGTGTATAGCTGAGCTATTCCTGGCTGTATAAAGGGCATGCTAAGCTGGCCCTCTCATCCCAGCTCAGCCTCCCACTGTGGCCTCCAGCCCTAGGGCCAGCACTTGAACCCAGTGTCCCTAGGTACTGACTTACACCTCCAGTGTGGTCTTCAAGAACAATCTGACTCTGCCCTGGCCTTGCTGCTGTCAGTTGGGCCAGACCTCCGTCTTCTCTCCCCATAGGTCTAGTCTAGCACTTCTGTGGGAGGTCAGGCTGATAGAGTAGCCCCAGGATCATCCCCTCAGGTTCAGTGACTCACTATGAGGACTCAGGACTCAGGAAACACCCAGTGATTCACATACACCCAAAGTTCACTATAAAGTTCATTGTGAGGGAGGAGGCTTAGGGGCAGTGTCCTAGTGAGCCAGGCAAGTTTCCCGCCATCCTTACCCATGGATCCTAGCTCTTGTAATATGTGACACACACACATGGGGTACTGCTGGCCAGGGCGTTCACTGAGCCTTGGTGTCCAGGATTTTTATTGGATGTTGGTCATGTGGGTGTGGCTGCCCCCACATGGCTGCCCTTACTCTCCAACCCTCAAAGTTTGGGCTCATCCCACATGGCCCTGGGCCTGCCATAAATCACACTGCTGGCTAGACTATGTGGCGGGGCCCATGGCCCAGGTCAGCAAAGACTGCTGTCAGGCCTTTCTCTGGAATCGCAGAGTGTGGTCAGTCAACTCTTTCCTGCTCCCACCCTGGGCTGCAACCCAGGACATTATTATGGTCACTCTTGAGAGGTCCAAGTACTTCATGGACTGAACAATTGAGGCTTTGCTGTCACCTGTCACCCAGGGCTGTGATGTATGAGGGGGATGTGCAGGACTCTGGAAACCTGGGTCACTTTGTGGACTGGTTTCTCAGTTGCTGAGTTCAGGCCTGCTTTAAGGAAAAGGGTGACCGTCAGACAGTGCTTGCCAGGGAAGGGGGGTATCACCCAGACCTTGATCCTGAGAATTGGAGCTGTCCTTGCTCAGTTGCATAACAGGCACCAGGGCAGTCCTTGGTAGGTCCTTGTTGGTCTGTCCCTGTGTCTGATCTGAGGCTGACATGCTGGGGCTTATGTTGTGAGTTTGTTGATGAGGGTCCTGCCATCTTGCAATCCCCACAACCTCTCGCATATCTGTCATTTCAATGACACAGACCTTTGAGCTACCAGAGTTAGGTGGAGTTCATTAAAAGTAAATGAAGTCTGGGGGCTGGAGAGATGGCTCAGCAGTTAAGAACACTGGTTGTTCTTGCAGAAGACCTGGGTTCGAATCCCAGCACCCACATGGCAGCTAACAACTGCCTGTAACTCCAGTCCCAGCAGATCCGACAGCCCCTTTTGACCTCCAAGGGCACTGCATGGCACGGGTGCACTTACCTACATGCAGGCAATACACGCATACACACAAAATAAAAATAATAATTAAAAAACAAAGTGAATGAAGTCTGAAGCCTGAGCTGGCCTGTGTCTGCATTATCACTGTTGTTTGGTGTTTGAGAGTCTGTGAGCAGTAAGGGAGGTGGTGACACTGACTATTTTCAGGCAGTGGTAAGCTACATTCTGCAGCCAATAGACTGTGGAGCCATCTGTGCAGTGTGTGGGACTGGGTCCTGCAATCTGAGCCTCCTCCTGTCAGCTGGCTGTCCCTCAGGTCACCAGAGGCTGCAGCCCAGGGCTCCTGCACAGGCAGTATGGGAAGACGGGACCCCACAGATGGGTGGTGCTAAAGCCATGTGCCCTGCAGCTGTGTGCTCTGCAGCTTCCTGCCCTGCCCCGCTGGGCTCCTGTCGGTCAGCCAGCAGCACAACGTTTCTACCCGAGCCCACTTTCTCCCTCTCTCCCTCTCTCTCTCTTTCAGTCTTTTGTGAGACGAGGTTTCATGTAGCTGAGACTGATCTTGAACTTATGATCCCTATGCCTTCCCTTCCTAAGTGCTGGGGTTATACTTGTGCTTTACTCCTTAAGTGTATCTTTCTAAATATTTATTTATTCCTATTTATGTGTATGAGTGTTTACCTGCGTGAGTTTATGTGCACCATGTGCATGCAGGTGCCCTCTGAGGCCAGAAGGTGTGAGAGCCCTGGACCTGGAGTATAGAGGGTTGTTGGCTGCCATGTGGGTGCTGGGAACCGAACCCAGGTCCTCTGTAAAAGCAGCCAGTGTTCTTAACCACTGAGCAATCCCTCCAGGTCCTTAACTATATCTTTTAAAGGAAAAAAGCTTTACCTCTTATATGAAGCCCAACTTAATGATTTTTTTCTTTTATGGTTCATGCTTTTGAATAATGCCTAAGAAATATTTGCCACCTTAAGATCATAGGGATGTTTCTCATGTTTATTTGTAGAGATTTTATGGTTTTTACCTTTTGCATTTATGTCTCTGATGCCTGTAGAGATAATATTGGCACGTGCTGTGAGGTTGGAACTGGTGTTCACTTGTTACATGTGGGTTTCCAGGTGTTTCTATGTCATTTTTGAAGAGAGCATCTTACCTATCAGGTGATGTTGAAGCTTTTGTCACGGCTTTGTGGACTGTGTCCGTGGTTCCATCCTTGGGTGCCCCTGTGCAGCATTCTGCTCACAGCACGCCCCTGCAGATGCTACCACGTCCTGGTCATGATAGCTTTCCCGTCGAGGAAATCCATGGAGCCCTTCCTTGTTTTTCCCTTTTAAAAGTCTTTTTTTTTTTGTTCTCCCAAAATTTGGCTTTGTTTCCAAATGAATTTTAGAGTCTACTTGTTAATTTCTGCGGAGATTTTGTTTTGAGTTGTAGTGAATCTATGGAAAATTCAAAGTGGAGTATCATGGCGTTTGGCTGCCCACCTGCACCTCACCACTCCACCTCACAGGTGCCAAATCCTGTGCCTGGCCTCTGTCCCCTGTCAACCTTTGAGTTTTCATTTTTGTATATTTTACTCAAATGCATGATAAACCCAACCATATGTTATCTTTTTAAATAAAAAATCCACTTGGTCGTCTCTTGGGATTTAGCAGAAGCATCCACACTGTGTTTTCCATCTCCCCCCTTCCCCCTTCCAGCTCTCCCCACCCTCTAAGGACGCAGGTTTTCAACTGTCAACCTCATTTTTACCTTTTTCTTCACTGTGGTGCTGGGGGTGAACCCAGGGTCTCATGAATGCTAGGCAGGTGCTGTATCATGGAGCTATACCCTGAGGCCTCACTGTTTACTGATCTTTTTAAAAAGATTCATTTATTTTTGTTTTTTATGTGTATGAGTGTTTGGCCTGCATGCAGGTGCACCATGTGCATGTCTGGTGCCCATGAAGGCCAGAAGACAGCACTGGATCTTCTAGAACTGGAGTTAGGGGTGATTCTGAGCCTCCATGTGGGTGCTAGAAACCGAAACCAGCTCCTGCGCAAGAGCGGCAGGTGCTCTTGACTGCTGAGCCATCTCTCCAGACCCTGGTTGTTTTGTTTTGAGACTGAGTCTCACGGTGTAGCCAGGCTGGCCTAGAACGCCAGATTGCCCTGCCTCAGCCTCTTGAGTACTGGGATTACAGGTGAGCAACCACGTTTGGTGCCTTCGTTTTTTAAAGTTATTGTCACTGAATGTTAACGTCTATGTTGATAAGGGATTTCCTTCCATCTTGCATCCCCATCTCTACCTCCCTCCCTCCCCTCCCTCCCCTCCCTCCACCCCATTCTTTCATTCTTTTGCCCTTTTTTTTTCTTTTTGGGGCAGGGTCTCACTATATAGCCTAGGCTGCTCTTGAACTTGTGATCCTTGTGCCTCTGTTCCAATAGAAAGGAAAGAATGCAGTTTCCTGTGGTGGCCTTAAGGGAAACGTCATCGTCAAGGAACATTTGGAACTGGCAGGATATGGGGTAGTGTCTTCCAAATCTCAGTGTTCCTCATGAGGTTGCAAAGCTGAGTGCAACATTTAGCAGCAAGCATTTACCGTAAAATATGCACAAGCTCAGTTAGATGTTCAAGCAAATAAACATGGAACTCTCTTGGAACAGAGGTTTGGAGGTACTCCCAAGCCCAGGGCGTCTCACCCTGCGCAGCCTCAACGCTACAAGGGGGCGGGATGTGTTTATTTATTTATTTATTTTTTTTGGTCTTTTTGAGACAGGGTCTCCCTGTAGCCCCAGCTGTCCTGGAACTCACTATGTAGACCAGGCTGGCCTTGAACCCACAGAGATCTGCCTGCCTCTGCCTCAAGTGCTGGGATTTAAAGGCATGTGCCACCATGCCTGGCCTTATTTTTAAATATTTTATTTATTATTTTTATTTTATGTGTCTGGGTGTATTGCCTGCATGTGTATAAGTGCACCCATGTCCTGCAAAGTCCTGAAATGCCCGCAGGGGACAGAAGAGGCTGTTGGATCCCCTGGAACTGGAGCTAAAGACAGTTGTTAGCCACCACGTGGGCACTAGGAATTGAACCTGGGTCCTCTGCAAGAGCAGTCAGTGCTCTTAACTGCTGAGCCATCTCTCCAGCCCCTGTTTTATTTTAAATTAAAATTCTAAGGGCTGGAGAGATGGCTCAGCGGTTAAAAACACTGTTCTTGCAGAAGACCCAGGTTCGAATCCCAGCACCCACATGGCAGCTAACAACTGTCCATAACTTCATTCCCAGGGGATCTGAAAGCCTCTTTTGTCCTCCACGGGCATTGCACAACACGGGTGCACTTACCTACATGCAGGCAATACACCCAGACAGATTAAAAAAAAAAAATTTATGCACTTCTGAGCCATCTCTCCAGCCTCAGAAGGTTCCCATTTTGACATGCCTCTCTGGGTTGCTAGGGTAATGCTGTTGTCCTCTATAACTGGCTTTTATCTCTACCTGCCAGAGCTAGAAGGCATTGGAGAGCCTCAGGCCCCTGTCTGTAGTTCCTTCCTCTACCTTCCCTACCACAGAGAATCCAGTAGTCAGGGAGGACAGGGGGTGCTCCATTCTCCCTTGGCTTCTGTGGTAGCAGTTGCCTGGGGTAGGTTTCTCCAGCTGGCCCAGCATGGTTGTATTCATGGTGGGAGGTTTCTCCAGCTCACCCAGTTTCATTGTGATGATGGCCATGTTCTCAGAAGGTCCCTATATGTATGCTCTTGGAGGTCACCTCTCTTCCTCTCCCTCCAGGTCGAGTCTCCTTCTTTACCTCGGGCTCTGAGAACCTGCACCGGGTGGAGAAGGTCCTCTGGGGCACCCGCTATGCCATCACCATCGCTTTTACCTGCAACCCTGACCATGGCATCGAGGACCCGGTGCTCACGTAGCCAGCCAGGTCGGGCCCTGAGGACCACGTCTGGAGGGCCATTCATGGCACTCTGGTGTTGGGACGTGTGGAGGGAGGCACTCTTGGATGCGTTGCGCGTGCACCCTTCCCCCATTTCTGCCCTTTGCCACTGCAGAGTGCCTTATGAATTAGCCCGAAGTTTAATCTGCTGATGTGTTTTAGTCTTTTCATCTGTGAGTAAATTAATGAAGGAGTTTCTCATGTCAGTGCTCCAAGTACGTGCTGTAGGTGCTGCTTACAGTGGCTGGAAGGCCTCCTTCCTTGGAAGGGATCCCCTAGGCAGGGAAGACACACCCACCTGTCAGCAGAGCCCAGCACCTGACCCACATGGTCAGTGAAGACAGCCAGAACTTCAACAGCCTCAGTGGGCATGAGGGAAAGGTGGGGATGCAGGACCAGGAATGGCGGCACTTTGGAAATGGCTCCAGCAGGCAGCAGTTCTGAGAGCCTCCGAGGTTCTTGGGTGAAGGGCAGTTCTGTGCATTTGAGATGGAGATGAACATTGAATGTCTTAGTGGCTCTGAGTGTACACCTGAGTACCTGCCTTGGCTTGGTCTTGCCGTCCTGTTCCGTGCCAGTCACCATCGGGGCCCCCACAGCCCAAGTCCAAATGTGCCTTGCCGAGGAGAGCCTGAGCATCTTTGCCCCAGCTCTCGGGACCCCTGTCCCTTGAGGCTCTTTGTGCTTGTCCCCTTTTCATCCTGGTACCATCCCTTCCTTTCATCAGAACAACAGGACCTGAGAACCGAAGTGCTGTGAAGGAGGCCTGGGCCCCAAGGGTGGATCCATCAGCCCAGCCACCACCAGGCCCAGTGTGGAGCCATAGTTACCCCCAGAGGCCACATCTTCTGGAGAAAGGCTGACCACCCACCCACCCAAAACATGATAAATGGAGCTCCAGGGCTGCCCCTGGGCACCAGACTCACCAGACCACCTTGACATAAACTACTGGAAGGAACCTGCCCCCTTCTGTCCAGGCAGCATGGCACACAGCCAGGTGACCCTGAGCAGGTGACCCTGATGTAAGGAGGATTGCTCCCTTAGTCCTTGGACCTTCAGTGGTGGCCCAAGCCAAATCAGGAAACTTGTGGCCTTGGAGCTACCCTGGGGACTTATAAAGCAAGGGGGACAATCCTGCACCCTGGGAATGAGTAGACTACTGAGGTATGAGGAGATCTGTAAGTGGAAGGGCCTGAGTCTGCTGCACTCTGTCTCTCCTGCCTCATTGCTCCTCATGGTATTGTGCCCGTTAGCAGGTTGCACCATGGACAGGCCAGTGCTCTGAGCACTAGGGTCCTTGCTGCCCCTACTGGTCCCCCTGAGCAGAGCACTTGTTTTCAAGTTGAAGTTCAAGGGTACAGCTGAGCTCTGGCTGGGAGACAAGGCTGACCCCACAGGGCTGATCCCACAGGGCTGCTGCTTCCTAGCCTGTCCAGTCAGGGCAGTGCCTCCAGGCCTTCCTGAAGCTGTCATCCTGTGGCTCTGCCCATCGCCTTTCCAGTTGTGGTGGGCCAGGCATACTGGGTCTCCACTGTGGGCTGCATGGCAAGGCTACCTGGTGCCTCCTCCATAGTCACAGTCCTGGTGTCCTCTGTGGCCCTCGGCGTGCTGTCTGCTTGCTTGGTGAAGGGGTCCAGCTAGTTTCTCCCAACTCAGTGGTAGTCTAAGCTGGTCAGGAGCAACATGGAAAGCAAAGGTTGAGTGGGAATAGACCGTGGAGCTGATGAAGCGTTGGAAGTTTCTGGAAGGGTCATACGACCAGTGACATACCTCCTCAGCTGGGACCAAAGCTGGGGTCAGATATCAGCAACAGGCAGGTGACACCCTAGGCATGCTCCAGCCTGTGTTATCCGTCAGGTTCCCTCAGAGCAGAAGCAGACTTGGGCTGTTTCCTATTTCAGATGCCACAGCCAAACCTGTGTGAGCCCCATCTCAACAGTGCCAAGGGAGCCCCAGGGTATTTTTTTTTTTCAGTTCTGAAGTTGTCATTGAAAGGTTGCCACAGACAGTTACATGGCAGCTGAGGAGCAGAGCTTGGAAAAAACCATCACTCACCTGGGTTGGATCTTTATCAAGGGGTCATCCTGCGTGGAACCAGTGAGCCGGGGTTGAGAGCCATGGGTGTGGCAGGAGCTGGCTACCCTGCATGACACCTCTACAGTGCTATAGGCCTTGGGCCAGGCTGTTCCCATGGCCAGAGGATGCTCCACTTGTTGCCTGTCCTGGGGGCCAGCTCATATGGACAGAGTTGGGGACACTTGCTTGTCACGGAAATGGAGATCAAAGACCTAAGACACCAGCCACATGGGTCCCATCTGATAAATCTCCATGGACAGCACTGGGCTGCTGGAAATGAAACCAGGTCTGAGGGGCAGGGACCCTGAGGTTTGAGGGTCACCCTGTAAGCTCAGGTTGGGCAGGGTGTTCAGGAAGGCTCTAGCCACACTGGCCTCATCCCACACCTCCTCACATGTTCTGTGAATTCCACCCATGGTTATCTCTCACCCAATACTTGTGGTGGAACCCTGGTGAGGCCTGAGAAGTGCCCTTTGCCTGCATCCAGCCTTGATCCACCCTCCATCAACCTGAACCTCTGTGGAAGCACCACCCGCCCCCAGCTCAGCCTCCACACAATGTCCTGACCTCTTAGGTCCTCCTCTCTCTGAGGCGGGAGGTGGAAGCTTTGCTCAGTCGACACATTACTTTCCAGATAACCTGGGGGAACATCATCAATGTTCAAAGCAGCGAAACAAACAAATTAGAAATAGTGGATTGAGACCAAGCAGGAGAGGCCTGGATATAATTTCCTGAGGCGCTGGGTAAATTGCAGTCCAGTCCCATCTCAGCGAGCTCTCTTGGGAAACCTGACAGTTACTGTAAATATCAGGGTTTCTTCCATTTCTCGATCTTTGTTTTTCTCTGAAGAGCTCTCCGCATCTGGTCCCTTGTTCCCGCCCAGGAAGGTGTTCCCGGCCATGTCTGGTTTCATCCCTGAGCCTACCTGTGCCAGGCTGCCTTCCCTGCTCTCCCGGTGGGTCTGCATCTGGCCATCTTTGCTGTTCGGGGTAGGGTACACACCTCAGAGGCCCTGGGCTCCTAGTTGCCCCTCTGTTCTCTGCTCACCCCCAGTGGCTGTGACCTGTGCCCCACTCCCACAGAGGCTATTAACCAGGACTCAGCCCCACCTGACTTCCCACCTTGTCAGCCCTCCTAGAGGCCTGGAAGATTAGACAGAGCAATTAGATTTGAGAGAGTTTAAGGCTCTCTCCCTGTTACTGAGAAGGCTGGCAGGGGCTCACAGAATTCTCTCTAGCTATGCATGTTGGGAGGCCGTGGCCACCCAGTGTCCCCTTCTGGAACCTTTGGTAAGGGCAGACAGTGATGGCTGATGGCTGATAGAAAGGCCTAGGAGGAGTGAGAGGATGGTCCCCTAGGTTCTCCACACACCTAGATGGGTTCCCGAACCTCCTGTCCCTCTCCAGGGTGCCTAGACCCTCAGCTCAGGCCTGCTCTGGCCCTTTAACCCCTAGGGCAAGGTGCCCTTTTATCTGTAGAAAAATTAGGCTCATGGAGGGAGGGGAGGCTTGGTATTAGAGGGGCCAGACCAGTGAGCCCTCCCCATCTGTGTCTCACAACGAGGCTAATTCTAGGGTGGGATTGGGAAGACACCCTCCAGCGGCTCTCCTTCCTCATGCCCTTGGGCCCCTTCAACCCAGGCAGTTCTGACCTACATCTGCAGTTCAGGCTGTATGTGCATGTTGATTCCCCCATGAGGCCCAAGGCCCAGCCCTGTTGAGGGGCCCAGCCCTGTGAGGAATCTTGGCACAGACTAGGTAGCACTGACCACCAGTGTGTAGGGCGCCACCCTGGGCAGTGGTGCCTCTGGACTTTACACTGATGCCTATTTCTGGTGTGAGACATGGGCTCTGGACTTTCACTCATGCTGTGGGATGCCAGAGGCTTTGAAGGGTTCAAAGTGGCCCTGCTGGCCAGCCAGAGTGGCTGCATTCCCGGCTCATGGCCACCTGGACAGATGGCAGTTCAGCCAACACAGCCTCTGGCAGTATCTTTGCTAACACCCTGCAATTAGTGCCCAGCACTCCAGTGCATATCCACTCCCTTGACTGCTACCTATAGGGCCTGTATGACTTGACTGCCCATCTAGCCCCTAGTTCTTTAGCCAAGAGGACTTAGAAAAAGCAGCCTAGCATCAGGGTCAGCAGAGAAGGCCACTCACTGCGGTACCCAAAAGACTTAGATGGACGATCAGACTGTGTGGTCTGGGGGTGAAAGGGTTGCGTTGAGGAGGGACGGACCACTGCAGGAGGTAAACCCTGGGCTGCCCAGAGACTATGGGGGCATCCCAGGCTGTGCTGGCAGGTAAGGGTGGGCAGAGGGGTCCAAAGTGCTGGACAGAGTCCTCAGGCTGCTGAGTGCCCAATGTGGCCTTCCAGCTCTTCCTTGCCACCTGCCCCACCCAGCTGAGTGTCCATGGCTCCAGGGCACAAAGCTGCAGGATGCCATGTCCAGCCTCAGGCTACTGCACCTTGCACTCTTGCTCCTAGAAGCTTGGGGCATGGGGATTGACAGGGACAGCTCCTCTGGAGTCTGATCAGTCCTGAGGGACCTGACCTTCCCAATCCTTCATGGGACCCTCACTGGCCTGGAAATGGCCTGAGTCTAGAGGCGCCTGCTCTTGGCTCCAGCAGCCTGGCTTCCCGTTCACCCGTCATCTGTCTGGAATTTGAATGGAAAAACCTGTGTGTGGTGAGACGAGGTGCCAGGACAGTCTGGGACTGGTGCCTGAGGGCCTCCCCCAGGGTGTGTTAGAGCCCAGGCGCCCCTCCTTTGCTGGTCCTTCTGATGGTCAGGCAAGAACCTCCATCCATCCCCTCCTTCCTTCCCCCCAGGCTAGATGCAGGTTCTGGGTCAGAGGAGTACAGGTCTTTGCAAACCAGTGACAGCTGCCTGCTCCTGCTGTCCATGAAGGTCAGCATGCTTAGCTCATGCTAAGCATTTTCAGCATCATCCCAATAGCTCATCTGGGGCCCCTGGAGTTCCCTTTGGAAACAGTATCCCCAGAAGAGAGCTTCCAGAGTGGTTACTGACTGCAGGGGACACTTCCAGGGTGGTTACTGCCTGTGGGGAATGCTTCTCAAAGGACACACCTCAGTTCCTGGAAAGGTTAGGAATGCAAGAAA